GTGTGTGTGTGTGTGTGTGTGTGTGTGTGTGTGTGTGTGTGTGTGTGCGCGTGCGTGCGTGTGCCTGTGCGTGTGCATATGTGGGTGTGTGTTTTGTAACTTGAATGTTATTTCATTTCAATTTCTTTATTTCATTATTTGTAGCTTGGACGATTCGAAACGAACATTTTCTACCTCGTCTTTGGACACTGAAAGTGGTAATGGTAAACAGAATCCACCTCTCACACCACCACTGCAAAAACTAATTTTCGAGAAATGTCATCGTTCTTCTCGCTCAATGAGTCAATTAAAAAATATAAAATCATCTCTTGGATCTTCTTTGGATCAGGGTTTAGACAAACCTGTACAATTGCCTGCGCTAGGTAGTCAATCAAAGCGAATTTGTAAATCGGAAGAGAGTGCCATTGACAATAAAACCTTGGTATTGGCTAAGGATAGATCGACTAACAGTAGTAATGAGACATTAAACAGTGCCATTCTGAATAATATTGATAATATAACTCTTAAGGATAAAGACGATTTTGTCGAGATTAGCGATAAGATCGTTATTGAAAGCAACATCGAGATTATGATACCCACATCAGTTTCTAAAGCAAGGAATGTCACGGATAGCTTGGAAAGTTCCGTGAGTGCTCGAGATAGAAGCTCCAATTCTATAAGCAGCTGCGAAATGGCTCTCAGTAGTAGCCAAAATGATGTAGATGAGAGTTCGAGTGGAAACCATGTTATTAAGAGAGAAAGAGTCGATGATAATGTATTTTCGATCGATGACAATTTAAGAAACGTCAAAGATGCGATAGACAATTCGTTGAAAAATGGAGAATACAGTAAAAGGCATGATTCCAGAAATAATGTTTCACAAATCTACGACATTAATAGTACAATCGTCAGCGAACAAAATAGTAGTGTTCATGGACAAGACCCGCTTACAGAAACTGCCATCTACAGCAGAGAACGTTTTGTTAAATCGTGCTCATCTTTGGACGATGTGTATACCTATGGAGAATCTGAAAAACAAAGAACAAATTCTATTTGTACCTATACAGAAGGATATACAAAGAATGCTACATTACGGCAGAAACGTGGCTTTGAATCCAGGTACATATAAGTAGATATAATTGTATGTAAATTGTACCGTATGACAATTGTACATGACGTAATAATTTTTTAAATATTTCATGCACATATGACATATATGTATGTATGCGGTGATTTATTTTACAGAGAAAATAAACCAGATTATCTTCAACATGCTGAAAAATTCAGGCCTCAGGATATTGTAAGAAATGAATCAATGGTAAATTTCGATGCTAATTAATGCTTTCCACACATTTTTAACATGATATCTAAAAATGTTCATTTTATATCTAGGTAGGTACGAGGTCAATTCTAAGTACATCAAGATCAGACTGCTGTTACGATGAAGCAAAAATGCAATGTGACATTCAAGCGTCAAGCGAGTATATAGATGTCATTAGGCGGAGCTCAGAAAACGTGTGTGCGCGCACCGAAGCTTTAGCCAACAAGAAAGCTAGTTTCAAAGTTATGAAACCGCGTCTTTAATACTTTCCTACGTTATAATGTTGTGTCCTGATAATAGGTGCGAATACCAAAGGTCTTAAGACATGTTTAGTTTATATTTTACATATATATATGTTGTTGATACGATAAAAATTCTTTAAATCTTATTTAAAGTTGACTTTAATTGATATTGTATAAGATGTTACAGAAATATTTATTATCTTTTATTTAATCGAAATAACACAAAAGGTTTATAATAATCACTGTCTTACAGTACGGATATGGAAAAAATTACGTATTTCGTGACAAATATAAGCTAAATTATCTATAAGGGTAAAATTAAGAAAGTCAGTTGTGCTTACCTATTATTCTACGTATGTGCATTTATAACTTCTTTCGTTCTCTTATGTTTGTGCAAATAACAACTATCGAGAACTATCATCGATGATGTTATTGGATGTAATAATAATACAGTAATATATGTAAGAGGTAGCAAAATTAATAGCTTTTTTAAAGAAATGCATCTTTGCACATATATCTGGTACATGATGGTGTTATTATGTTTTCGTATTGCACACTTATGATGAAACTTTGGACAGTTCATTATAATCAACAGCTGTAAATCGAGATTTTCTTAATTTAATAGTGAGATGTAAATATGTATTGATACAATTATTAAGTTACACGACCCTATTACTGTAATATAACCTGCAACATTTATATTGTTATTATTTCTGTACGGAAGCGTTTTCATTAAACTGAGATGAAATGTAATACATAAAGTTTGTATATACATATGTACTATGTATTATAGATTTTTTCACTGTACTTAATTCACATGATTGATCAGTGTTTAATTCATGCTTATAATGCAAGCGATAGAATGCATCAATATAGTTGATTCTATTTTTATCATTAGAAATATTACAGTATACCATAAATTTATGTGCGAGGACCAAACAAACCACATAATCGCTTAAACAAAACGATCATGTAATAGTAATTAATCCGTAATCTGATTATTAAATAAGTAATTAGATAAAAGCAACCTGTGGAAGAATTGTTCGCAAAACAATTTCGTGGAACTCGAGCGGACTATCGCATTGTGATATAATATGAAATAAAAAAAGTTATTAAAGGAAAGAGAAAAAAAACAAATTATCTCTTGTTATATGTTTCTACGTCCTATTTATCTTTTATTCAATAATTACACATTATTTTTATTTTGCATGAAAATTTTAATTTTGCTTTCTGAAATCTCTCTTTCCTCTGTCTAGTTAAATCTATTTAAGTAGTATTCATTAAAATATGTACGTAGATAATGTTGCACTAAATTCATTTCAATATTGCACAACGTATAAACACACGTGTAAAACAAAAGTCTAATTGTAAGATATATTTCCTGTTGTATCTGTTTACATATTATACATAAAAAATGTATTTCAATCCAATATTTATATTGTTAATATAATACGATTTTTATAGAACTTTTATAAATTTTAATTTTTACATTTAATCTTATAAATGCGCAATTTTATATTATATATATTTACCAATATGTATCAGTTTTTGTCTTTTCTCAATTGCCTCGTCTCTCTCTCTCTCTTTGCTTCTCTCTTTCTCCCTTGATATGATTAATATATATTTCCCTCTTTCCCTCTTTATCGATCTATTTTGCAAAAAGATGAAAAAGATATGTATATATATAATTCTATATTTATTCAGACGCGTATACATGAAAATTGAAACTAGAATCTATTGTGGACTTTTTAAATTTTACATATAATTTCAATTCTACACAATTTCGATTATTGTTTCTTATTGCAACATATTATTATTATTAATAATTAACTTTAATATATAAATTGAATTTATATTTTACGTTACCTTTAATAAGAGAATTGCAATTATTGCCAAGTTTTCTCGACACAGAGATGAGAGGCGCCAAATATCGCTGTTGATTTTTTATATTAATTAAACCCATTTTACTAATAGTATCCATATACTCGGAGCAGCCAGTAAATAACTCGTCCCAGAAAGAACACGTTTCTACAACTGCAAATAATGCGTATGTACTTACTGTAACGTGACATATAAAACTTTAGAAATATCTTTACCGCCTGCAAAATATCTCGCTTATCTATTACGTAAACTCGACATATAGATAGATATAATATATGTATATTTTTGACACATTTGATTACCCCATTTATCATTTAAGAGATTTATCGTTTTGACAGGTTGTATTGTTAAACTTTCCATAGCCGAGGATCTAAATCTGGTCGGATCTTTGTAAGCGTCTTTTACATCGATAATTTGTGATTTAATTGGCGAATCTATCACTGCCATTAATGATCTGTAACGGGTGACGGGTAGACCTAGAAAAATAATTTATTGATGTGGCAGTAATAGATGAGACGGTAGAGAAAATAGCGCAGATTTTTCTTCTAATATAATTTTTGTCGTGTTAATATTGTCGGACATATGCATATGGAGCAATATTATAGTCGGATAAATGTACCCCTCTTCTCATAATCCGTTTTGTAAATGCTTTTGATCGTCTCTTCCATATCGCAAGCGCTGTCTAACATCGATGACGTGAAATCCATCATTTTACGATTGACCTTAATTAGCTCGTCGCAAAGTCGACGTTCCTTATCAGCAAAGTGTCGATACCTTTCAAATGAAAT